AATATTCTTGTTCTTAAAATAACATAGAATAACAAATATAAGTTGTCGGCACATCAATTACCCTTATTTCTATTTCATTATACAAAGAGATTGTCATAGAGCAACAATTTGGTATGAATAAAGCTTTATGTGTCTGTCTAAATTGGCTTTGGTTTAAGGGATAATAATTAATCATAGATTCACATTTGCATAATATTTCTGTCTTAAACAAACATTGCTATGACAACTCTGACAAAGATCAATAGAATTCCGGACATAATTTTCTATCCTTAATAACTGGTATCTTATATCTATTGATATAATATAACGTTTATTATTTTCATCCATATATTGCTGCGTCAAAATAACCTGTATTTCTCGTATATATGCAACTAACATATTATTCTCTGAGAAGCAACAAGCATAGGTTATGTTTCTAATTAATTACTATGACAATGACATGAAACATCAGTATGGATAACCTTTAAATTATTTAAGAAAACGTATTGTTCTTGTTACTGTTAATACTTTTCCTGTCGTAAAGGGTTTTATGTCATAAAATTAGATATAGATAAGTAACTTTGATTTTATTTGACGACAAAAAGGTATATTTAACCAATAAACTGAAGACATTAATTACTTACGTACACGTATATCTTATTGCCCTTTGTTTAAATCATTCAATGGACGCATCAATTTTAACTTGATATGAGGATTCAAAATATCAAAATATTTTGATCCAATTGCCAGTTTGCAAGTAGAATACATGTACTGGCTTTCATTTGGTTAGAATAAACTCTTAATACATGCTGTTTTTGCGAGCAAAATTGTATGAAGCACATTCGGTTCGGGGGATGGGGTTGTGGGAATCGGTTTGATATTAGCATTCAATGTTTATTCCAGTTTGTTTTGTAACTGTTTAAATTGAAAAAAGAATATTCTTTGTCACGCTCAATCCTAACATTTAGCTTGACCAAAATTTTTGATTTAGAGTTTAACTTTTGCAATAATAATAGTAATAATAATAATAACAACAACAACAACAACAACATCAAAAATGAACAATAAAGCAGTTTTTGACATCTCTACACAGGATATTTAGGTTAAACTGTAAATGTTTTAAACACTGTTTTGTTCTTTTTTATTAATGGTTTTTTCAACGATTAACCAGAAACTCTGCCGCAAAATTACGGAACCATTCTAATGCATGTTTAAGCTGATTTTGTAGCCACAATGCAAGAAGAAAAGTGCACAAAAAACAAAAACATCCCGAAACAATCTCAGGCCAAATAAAGCCTTAATAGGATTAAACGAAATATCGGGATTTTCTGAGAAATGTCACTGAATAATTAATTATTTTGTTTGGTAGAATTTACAAACTTATGGTACATGTATGAAACATAAAACTATAAATTGGGAATTTGGGAATTAATGAATTTGGTTGCAATAAATAATGACTTTATGGTTGACATATGAAATTAGTAATATTCTATGATGTGTTTATTGTGTATCGATGTTAAACTGAATTTCAAATCTTCCTAGACAGTTAAAACTAATTTAAAGATATACAATGCTCATACTTGAGTAATATAATTATTTTAATCAAAAATTTTATTTAAATCTATGAAATTCTTACTGAATATGTCTAATTTGAATAAAAAAAAGAGAAAAAAAACTATGTATTGGAAGCCCTGTTGCCTTTTACAGGACATGTAAAGATGGTCTTTTCTAAAAAAAAACTGTCAGATTTTTTAATGACACTATATATTCATATTGTTAAAAATGAAATATCTGCTTTGTGTAAAGTCAAAACATGTTTATTTTATATTAACAAAGAGACAGTGTAAAAATAATCAATATTTTCTGATATCAAATTGGAGCATAGTATATCTTTAAATAATGTCAAAAACAACAACAACAACAACAACAAACAATAGAATTAAAAAAAAACGTACATTAACTAATTAGACTTAAAATTTCAAAATTATTATATTTACTTATATAAATTTAGTTAAACAATTCAAAACTTTATTTTCTAAGCAATCGACCAATAAGTTTATATCATGTTGATTGTGAGCTTATTTTATACAAGTTTTGAGTTTGTTCTTTGTAAAACAATTGCCATATTTTTATTCTCTAACATTGGGAATAATGGTCATTTGTCTCTAACCGCTTCAGTATTCATGTAGTTGTTGGTCACATACAGCGAATTATTTTCACTGGCAAGTTATCCAGGAAAGCCGGTTAGGTGAACTTACTTTCAAAATATGACCAGGTGTGTTACAATTGGCGTGAAAACAGAGAACAAAAATATTTTTTTCATATTTTATATTGAACAAATAGAAGCTGTATCAGTATTACGTTTTCCATTAATAAACAGTATACGAGATTCGTTGAGTTTTCTATTGAAGTAAAAAAGGTTTTTTTTTCAGTCCCATCCTGTTTCGAAATGTTCTTAAACAACTCAGTCACAAGCGGCAAATTCTGTTACAATTCTATCAATAATTGGAAGTTCCGTACGTCTGTAAGCAAGTTACTTAAAACATTATTTAGCTGGAATTTGGAGAAAACATGTTGCTCAGTTAAATTTCTTTAGAGTGTGCTTCATTGAAACTAATAAGTTTTACTTTTGGCATATGTAGAAACATGAGAAACATGGATATGTCCTCAAAATTGCGCGAATACACAATCCCTGGGTTGATAGATTATTCTTTTTAATCACCTGGACAGTGAAAAGAAATATTTCAGTTTTTAGATGGTCAATATTTAACCTGATTGAAAACAATGTTTTTTAAAGAAGACTTTTCGACTCATCGGCTAGTAATAATCTTAAAATTCTTACTCAATATTTTAATGACATTTCTTTTTTATGTTAACAACGAAACTACAATTCTTTTAAGATTATCTTCATACAAAAGCTAACAACAGAATCATTAAGTTTGTTTAATACAAATAATTGAAACGACGAACTCAAAAGCAAACTATACTCCAAACAGTATAATTGAGTTATCTCGCAAAGCAAGGCTTGGGTTTCTGCATTTCGACAAAATTGCTATAGAACTTGTACATTGTTGCCATAAAGCCAGCGTTGTAACTGTAAATTGTTCATCTTCAGACAAATAAGTAGCAGTGGGGTCTTTTTTATTCAATGTAAATAAATCCTTTAAACAAAGACATACAGTAATGTCCTGTTTGTTAATTTAATACCAAGACAGACATATCTTATTTTATAAAGCTGCTGTAAGAACTCTCTATAGTAATGTTTAATCATAAATACCTGTACTTTCTTTATACCACCTTGTGGCTGAGGGGTTGCCTTTAAGGGTTGAGGCATCATACTTGTATACCGTTAGCCACCGTTTATCTTTGCTGGATCAAAAGAGGCAACTTAATGGGTGCGAATAACTGGAGTCTATGCATCTCTTAGCTCCAGGAGGTGGTTTTGATACTTGATGTTACTTTCAGTTTGTAACACCCGAGGTTAGCCAGAATATTCTTTCCTGTTTCGGTGCCATATCACCTTAATTGTGTTGGTGCACAGTAAAACAAAACAAAAAAAACAACTTTCTTTATCTTTATCTCATTTTGAAAAATCTATATTTTGTGTTACCTGAACATATTTCAAAATGAAATGAATATCAGTATTTATTGTCAGACATTAATTTAAAAGATAAATATACATGTATGTATATCATAAAGTAAAGAAGCCGATACCTTCTAGTCACATGCACAAGTTTTTGACAAGAATTTAATAAACGATTTTGTGTACAGAAATAGATTATATTCCAAAACAGAAAATAAGTGATCAAAACAGTTTTCAAAACAGTTTTTACTTCCCTGTGAGTGTCGTTTGCAATGTATAATTTGCTTTCTTCAAAAAATTATCATGCAATTTAGGGCATGCTGCTTTAAGAATAAATTTCATAATATAATCTATACTTTTTATATTTCGCTGAATTAACGTCTGCAATAACAACAATTTTGCTACCATAAAACCAGTTCATTTTTTAAGAAGGATACATTTTATTTATCGTCTTGTTTTAAAATTGTTTTGTCTGTCTAAAGAGGTGAAACAATGGACATACGGTACAAAGGCGCATTATCCAATACGTTTAGAAGAGTGTTTATACTAACAAAGTCAGTGATAAGAGAACTGCTATCGGTAGCAGACGACAATTTTCAGGATGTAAGGACTATTTGATAGAAAACAGAGGAATTATTGAAACATTGTTGTAGGGAATTGATAATTGCGGATAATAAGGCAAGTACTTATATTTTCTATAGCTAATTCTTAATTAGAATGAAATGTTTATAAATCAATAACTAATTATTAATTGTTTAAGTTGAGGTATTGAAAAAGTAACAAGTTTGATCTGCAACTTCTATTTGGTAAGAACAAAAGTCATAAATTCAATTTGATGGCAGATCCCGTTTATCTATTCTTTACCCTAAGCGGGAATAAAAATAATCGTTTAAATTCACGAAATTTAATGAAAGTATTGGGAAAGTTGGTTGTGAAATTATGCTGTTAACATGTATCCAAATCATTTATTAAATTCAGAAATGATGTTATGTACAAGAAATTAATTTTATACTTTGTATTCTGCACATTTATTGTTTTATTGTTATTCGGAAAAAATAGAGTACATTTGTATCGATTTGTCCAACGCATCTTTTTGAAATTTTATATTTGATACATCGGCAGTATTTGAGTTTAATTATGTAAATTCGTGTTCATTGACTATTACAGCACGTCATTTAAAATAATAATTATCATAATTGATTGTCACTGTCATGTTCCATTTCTACAGGCGTTATTTCATTTATAGCACTAATACACAAAGGAATTCATCATACTTTATATGATTTATTATAGGAAAACACACTACTAGCTTCAAAGTAGATAAATTGATAAGTTTTTTTGCATTAACTTTCAGAAATATCTTCAACTTGACAACCAACAACAAGAACTAATCTCAGCACGAACTTTTATAATCTAAAGTTCAAATAAATAACTGAACATGTGTCCAGAAGCAATGATATTGATAATAGTTATCACAATATGTGCCTCATATGTTGGTTCATCAAAAAATGAAACAGCGTTTAACATAAAAGATAACGACATAGATAACAACACAAAAGCTACAGAGGTGTCGCCAAATAAAAATGTTATAATAAGTACAACACCGGAATATGATGCTCTGGAAATCAAAGATAACAATACAATAGGGATGTACAATTTGACAACTCGTGTTGAGGATGTGAGAAATAGTTATTTTATAAGCTTAAGAAACAACTCTGCAATAGTGAATGATGGAAACATATCAAACCAAAGCATCAATACTAAAGTTGAAGAGATAAATACAACAAATTACAATGATAACGATATCAAGCATGTTGATATAACAACAGTTACAAGTTCGATCCTTCTAAAAGATTCGTCAAGACAAGTAGAAGACAAAGTGCCACATGATAGAAAAAATGACGAACTTAGGGGTTTAATGTTGGAAAAGACGAAAGTAATGCTGCAACACCATCTACAACTAGGTAATGGGTATTTCATGTAAATATAATACAATGTATTTAGAATTAGAACACAAGATTTACAAAGGGAATTCAGATTATTATTTGCAATATCATAGTTTGACAATATATATATGACCGGTCAAATTAGCTATAAAACAATACAATAACGCTGTTGTCATATGAATATTTTAATTCATTGTAAGGAATTTGTAAAGACATGTTTAGTTTTTATGAATTACATAGTTAAATAAGTTATAAATAGTATTTTATTATATTGCCTTGCTTTGAGATCATATGACGCCGAAACAGGAAATATGATTTTGGCTAACCTCAGAATTTTATAATAATTATGTTATTGTTATTAGATATAATAAAACCAGTATTTCCATTTTATTTTAGTACCTATGGAAGATAAACCGTTTGACTCACAGATGTTACAGGTAGGTTTAAATTCAAACAAAACAATTAATATTAAATGGATACCAATGTTAATACAAACCGCAATTCTTCGATTCTTTTACATCATAACATTGGACAAAATGATGCCGAAACTTTACAGAAATACATTAAATTGTTTTTCTGCGTGTAATGCAACATTTGAATGAAGCATATAATTTAATGAATGAAATATTTGTGATATAATGTTGTTTACAAATAACCTCGTGTTTACATTGTGATTATTGTATAATTAATGGATGAAATTTCAATTAATTTGGATGAACATTACATATGAAGATTCAATGTAGTAATTTCATACACAATATGTAGGTTGGTTTCAAGTTAATATTTAATAAAATGAAACATTGTCCTGTTAAATACACACTTATACTAATGCTTTCAGAGTCAACGTTATATGATAAGTATATTAGTACCAGTTGGTGTTGGCTTGATTGGTGCCAGTATGATTGTATGCACGATAGTGACGTTAAGAAAAGTTGCAAATAAAAGAGTCGTTCACACGCCACTCGATGATGACATAGAGGTTGAAAGGTCAATGACAACGCACATATCAAGTGTAAGTTAAATACATTTATTTTGCTGCCTGATAAAAAATTGTTACATTTGTTCCATCATTAATGGAAGAAAACTACAGGTTTGTTGAATAAAGCTTTGCATATTTGTTTTATAATATACAAAAGACATCTTCATTATCTGTAATTATTTAAATTCACTCCATGAATTAATAATAGGGGGAATCTTTAATAAAATTTGTTACAATTCATTAATGAAAGAAAACTACAGGTTTGTTGAATAAAGCTTTGCATATTTCTTTTATAACATACAAAAAACATCTTCATTATCTGTAATTATTTAAACTCACTCCATGAATTAATAATAGGGGGGATCTTTGATATTTTTGTCATATTTCAATTGTTTTAAGCTACTTACATAATGATGATTAGAGGACTAATAAATCTAAAGAAAACTGTATATGCTCGAAAAATATGTAAATGTTGTAAATGGAAAAGTGAGCAACAATATGTGAATAGCAACAATTTAATTTATCAACGTTTTGGCTGACGACTTCGTAAGAATGAAAACTATATATATGCACAAATTAAAATTGTGTCTTATTTATACCAAAATATAAAAGCTAGTATTTTAAAAATGAAAATGTTATCTTATTCTGATTGAAGAAAAAGCAAATAGTAAAAACACCTACCTAGAAGTGAAACATATTTGATATTCATCAACAGAAAATAAAAGTGTTTTTGTTATCATTTCTGCTAGATGTCTAACGTTTATGAATTGAGAAAGTTTCTTTACCCATTCTATCAATGTTATTGTCATTGAATTCTCTGGGGATAATAGAAGTCAGTTATATAACTTAAATCAAAATGTAGGGCAACATTTCAAAATATTAATATACATGATGCCTCAGAAATAAATATATTTTCTTCTTGAGAAGGGGCAAAATGTGTTTTACAACATGGTTTATTAATTGATTTAAGACATATTATTTGCTTATCACAGGAAAAGGGAGCACTGAATGTGAATTAAAGGTAGCAGCTGTATTGGAACGTGGTGGTGTTTTGATTACCATACAAAATATTTATTAACACTAACTGCTTAAATTTCCAATCAGCAAACGAAGTATATGGGCAATGGGTACTTTCTCGGAAAACAGGAGATCTAAACAAATCCATGTTGATATGAAATGAAAGTAATGAAATTCTAGGGCATAATAGGCCTTCAAATAGTAAGGATTAATATATTCATAAAAATAATACATATTGAACGGATACTTATTAACCTTGATTTTGCCGGATTTTATTGAAGCATCGTATGTCATAATATCATGAAAATACTTCTTCTTCGTCAAAACTTGATGTTTCTAAAGATATTCCGTTTAACATTTCCTTCACACTTTCGGGTGAAAACATGTAAGAACTTTGTCATACTCATATATTTTTCAAGCAATGCAAAGTTCTTAACATACTTTGTTTTGTCTCTTTTCCAGGTCAGTGCAGATACTACAGACAAAGTGTTTTTATTGCATACAGATGAAATTTGACAACATCTATTATATTAACATTCCATCTTATTTCAATTTTTTATGTTTTGTATAAACAATGGGACTTAAAAGTTGCTGTTGAGGACATAACAAATTTGCTAAGCTAAAACACTTGTATTGTGATAACTCCAGATTCAAAGAATTTTTCGTGACAGGATTTGGAAGTAAAACAAATCGAAATTGTATGTTTTCTAATATCAGGTATCACTCAATTATAATTAAACTCAAATAGCTTTGAGACTTTTTTCTTTAATTAAATGGAGTAGCTTAATGATAAAACGTTGGTCTTTTGGCACAAAACAAAACATTTGCACGAAAGAACAAAAGCAAAACTTGTCTTAATGAGTGCAGGTAATGTTTTCCAAGATTACATCTGGCGAGAGGAATCACAGGTTATTGTCATATAAGAATCCAGAATAATACTTATTGTGGCATAAACATTAGAAAAAAGCACATTTAGAAATGTCTAGCAGAAAATAACTAATTAAGCAGGAAAGCAAATTTCCTCCTTTTTTCCACATGACTAATCGATATAGGATGATCTTTAATATAAAGTATCATTAGAAGCAATTATAAACCAAGGATGAATCCATGTGCTTTTAAATGATCTGTAAAATAACCTCAAAGAAATAAATTTGTCATCAAGACAGTTTTAAATTCTAGGTAATGAGATTCTTTCATTATTGACCTTAATTTTAAAATCTGTAAGATAAAAAATAAACAGTTTTTGTAAACTTAGAGCGGGGAAGAATAATTTCAGTTTAAGTAAAGGTGATCGCGAGTGAAATTGTGTAAAAAAAGAATAGGGAAACTTTTTTTCCATTCATCTTATTTTAAAAAGAGCTAGTGCAGAATTTTTTTTCATCATTGCAACTTTGAATGAATTGAAAGAAACATTGTTTTCATCTTTAATGTGCAACCATTAATTTCTTAAGTTGCTCTGGAATACTTGATAACATTTACAAAGATGTAAGTTTTTAAATATTTTATAATGATTTCCGTTTATTTAAATAAGATTATAGTTGCGTTACTCTTACAATTTCAAAAATTTAGAATTATATGAAATCAATTGATAATCTGAATCTGTATTTGAGTTTTCATGTATGTACTTATGTCATATATACATTCTTGATCATAGTGATTTAGAACATAACCTATATAGTAATCGACTCACTTATTTCCCTTATGGTTATTGAAGAATAATAATGGGAAGTTCCAAAATGATAAACTAGCCACATATTATTCATTTCACATGCAGTTATTTTTCTTTATAAAGATCATTTAAATCACAAATATATTTTAGGGAGTATATCTTTTTTGTTATGATAAAACAAACGTTACTGTGGTGGATAAGCTTCATTTTAAAAAGCTATTCTTTTGTGAATTTGTATAAAAAAACAACTTAAAAGAATACGATGCGGGAGTTCCTGCGATTTCCGCCTTAATACTTTTATTGTTGAAAACACTAAGTTACAAATATAATTTACATTTTGTAACAACAGTGTATGTATGTTATTGATTGTACCTCATGCTTAAAATAAAATGCACTTGGCTTGCGTAAAATAAGACTTTGTTTTCAAGATATCTCAATTTTATTTCTGTATGTACATGTATGTACTTACACATGTATGAAAGTACTTTTCTGCACTTTTATTGTAAAAAAGGATTATTTTTATGTAAAACTAAAATGATATATTTGTTTGTTTTCAATTATTTCAAAATATTTGTTTTATAAAAAAAATCAAAAGATGCCCTTGTACCTGACTTTCGCTTTCATATAACAAGACAACGCATCCGGTACCAAGGCTCTTCCGTTAAGCAACAACTAAAAATAATTCGAAAGTAGCATGGCTGTTATTACTTTCATTATAACCAAATATGTAATATTTGTAGTTGTGAATATTTTAAATATTAGTGTTTATACAAACGTTTTATTACTTCCCATTTAAAAAGAAGCATAATTTTATATCTACACATGTGCCTTGTCCCCATCAGCAAGTATGTCAAGAATGAGTACAATATCTGAATATCTGAAATCCAAAACAACATCAAAATTTAAGAAGAAACATAGCTTAAAACACCAATGCGACGACGCAATTATGATAGCTCGATTTTTTCGTTGATTATAACTTTTAGGAGGATATACAAAGGAACGGTTTGATTCCACTCATAGAATGACTGAGTTTTGGGTAAAACACGTTTTACAACATTTTCTATTCTTATGACCTGTGTGTGGACATTTATATATGGAATAAAGACATAGTGAAAGTAACAATTTGAATTTGTAATTAAGAAACTACCACTATTTCACTATTATAATAATTCTGATTTTACTTTTAAAAGCACCATTTTTAATTCAATCACAAAGCAGATGATTAACTAATACTGCATTAATAATCTTTAATTTTGATTTTGTTTAATTCTTTTGATTTATTCTAATAGGTCTTAAAAAACTTGTGGAAAATAATTCCCAACTAAAACATCGTTTGCTTTGACGTCACAATGTTTGAATATTTGTATTGTTTTGTTTGCTGATAAAACGTTGTAGACAGGGCTTTATACAACATCTGTTTCAAGGTACAAATACCTAAGGCTATTGAAGGCTGATTAGGTAATTGCAGTATAAACCAACTCTTTAGATATTTTTAATTTAACAAGCAGTAAAGTAAACATTAATGATTTTAAGTGTACAATTCTCTTCCATCAAAACTTGAATTACTATGTAATGTCGTGACATATGTTCCTTTTAATATATAGCTTCATATTTATAAAACGTTAGCATGCAATGCATGGTTTAAGCAAACCATATGCATTTTATTTACAAGTTCGTTAGGAGTCAGGATATTCTTTATTGTTTATGAAAGTTTCAATTTGACCGCTTTAGACACCTAGAAAAATACCATTGGTCACTAGATTATTTTGCAGATTTTACTCTCAAAAAGGTATATTTATCTTTACTTATGGTTGTTACGTGATGTGGCTGATTAAATAAATCCCCTTTAACATAATAAAAGGTTAAGACGTTACATACCAAGTTAAATGATGAGATAATCAATTAATTTTAAGTATAATTAAGAAATGATATCTGTCTTAGCGGTGTTTAGGCTATTTAACACCAGTTTGGAGTTTTGATGCGAAGGAATTGATTAACCTACTGATGCTAAGATATAGAAATTATTAAGCCAAAGAAATGATAAGAAAAAAGTTATTTTATCAAAGTTTTCAGCAATAAAAACTTACGTCTCAGACTGGATTGTATTGTGTTTACATCAGTGTTTGATTAATCATGATTGTATGTTTGGAATGACGTCATTCAAGCGCGTTTATGAATGAGTTGTATACTTAGGATGACGTCACTACGCTGCTTTCGGATTGGCGCCGTTTTGTAAAAATATTCATTAACTGATGTGGATCGAATCTGTGGCGTTAGTGTATGTGAGATATTATGTCAATATTGTATGAAACGAACACAATTATAAGAACTGAAAATATCAGTAAAAATGATTTTTATTATTGCTTTGAAAGGCTTTGTAAACTATATAATGGAGGGTGAAAACATAACAGCCACATATACAAAGTAGTCCCTAAACAGTTTATTGGCAGTTTAACACTGGTTTGTTTTTCATCTTTGTCTATAGTGACAACATCACGAGGAGTGTTAGAATTTCTGTTCGCATGTATCAGTACTATACACTGGGCATGTAAAAGAACAAAGGGATCTATTCGATAAGAGTTAGGGACTGGTTCCTGGATTCCCTTATATCTCATAGCTGTCTCTAGTGTCTGCTGAAGTGAGGACACTACTGTAAAATAAGTGCTTACAATAACGTATTCTATCCTTGACCGCCCGGTCTAAAGAAAATCAAATCAAATTTTGTTAAAGCTGCATGAACCTCATTGAAAAAAAATTAAAGCAAATGGAATAGATATCAAATTTAGGACTCCGCAAACTTAGTTCCATTTCCGCATCAGAAAAAAGTTGAATAAAAAAAGATTTCAAATTTCAGAAATAGTGGCAAAAGAAGAAAGTAAACTAATTATTGTTAGCGGTTCTCAACATTAAATCACTTTATATTAATTATTTGGGCAAGTAATTCAATTTAGTTAAAACAATATTTTATTGCTTTTTTTATTTCTGTACAAAACAGATACAATCTCACATACACATATAAGATTTAATTTACAATATTAACATGGACATTAAAAGCAAATAGTCGGACCACAAGTTGTAACAACATAAGAGAGCTGTACCTTCCCACATTGTCTTCCCACATTGTCTCAATAATACTAGTAGTCAAAAGATGTGCATAAATTATGTTGTATTTGAAATACAATAAATGGATAACACAAATCAAAATGATAACATTTAAAAAAAATGAATTTGATTACAAAAAATCAAAAACTGACAAACTTGATTTCAAAATATATAAGAAAGAATGCAAGAATGGGCATACATACTAAATTACTAAATGTTGTGGGCGTAAATTACTTATGCACATGGACCAATTATCATTATTAAGAAACACACTTAGTAGTCTAGTGATACAATGATATTTTTGTGAACTTTTAAAAGCTTATTTGAAACTCCTCATTTCTGATTGGATTTTTTTATTTAAAATTTCAATTACATTCTGGAAATCTTTAGCTTGAAATGAAACAATTTTTAACACATCGTTCAAATACAATTAAAATGAGCTAAAATACATTCACATTTTACCTAAACGCATTTAAGAACAACTTTTCTAGTCGAGCACATAAGTATTTCATCAGTAAATGTTAACCTTGCCAATCCATCTCAAATTAGTTTCGTTGAGCATTCTGACAAAAAAGGAATACTGGGTTGAATTTTGAAGTTAAATTCGTTAGCGAAAAAGTAAAGGCAATAATTTTAGACACGAGATATTTGAATCCAGGCAATGTTCTGAATGATCAATAGCAGGTTTGCATTTAATTTACTGCATACTATTAAAATAAAATTACTAAATTAAACTAAAATAAATTCAACTTTCAACTTATCAAGCGTGTTACCATCAATTCACAGACGTATTCTGACACGAAGTCATTACGCAATGTCATTTATCTGCTTTATAAAGTTAAGATTTTGTTACAGAGGAAGATGAATCGAGGTAATCTATTTATAAAGACAATAATTCTGTAATTAACAACTTTAAGTATGCATCTAAGCTTCGAATTAAACCATACAAATGAAACTCTTGTCGCCATCGAAGAAGTACAAAAGGTATATTCGTTTCATGATTATTTCGTTGTTTGTAGATTAGAGTCTTAAACTGCAAAGGAAAACCATCACAAAACACATATTGCGAGAGATTCAATAAGATACTAGTACTTATGGTTAAAGATAAATTAAGCCACAGAAATGAATACATGTTTTTTCCACTTTTTCAGAAATGCACCATCAAAATTGTTTATATTGTTTTGATAAGATCAAGAGCAGGTTAGAGACATATCAAGTGGAGAAAATAACACTGAATGTGAAAAGTTGGCATTTAAAATAATGAATTCGCTCAAACGTATAAAACGTTTTTTAGCGAACGATTTGAAATAAATACACTTCTTCTTACGATTTTATACGTTTAAAATTTTGATAACAATTTATATATACCAAGTTAGACCACATTACCTTTATTCCATACAAAAAGAAAAACAAATATATACCTTTGATTAAACCATGCCGGTTCATATCGACAGTTAAGCTTAAAATCGTGTATGTTATTTTCTATGTTTGTTCTTTTCACAATATAACTAAAGATCCACACACTAGATGTCTAGACAGAGTCATTATGAGACTACTTTTTTAATTGTTATAATAAATTACAATAATAAAAATCTGTCCATTGTCTGAGTGGTCCTTTTTCGTATTTTCGTTCATATATATTTCAATATA